AGTATTCCATAGAGTGGTAGAGCGAGAGAGAGAGAACTATGGAGCGAGAGAGAGAGAGCCATTCAAAGAGTCTTTTTCGGGTTCAGTACACGCTCCAGCTCAGCTGGTCCAGGATTTGATGTATTTTCCACCCATGACGGCTCATTTCGACTTATGCTAAGCAAGAAACGTCGCTGATAACCTTGGTGGGGGCAAGAGCATCAAAAGAGTCAATTTCAAACTGAGACTGACATCATCGAAACAGAACTAAACCACCATAAATTGGTTGGCGCAGCTTTCTCCCGCTTAGGCTTAGACAGTATTCCTTTTCGTCATTACGTTATTTATATCTTTGCACAAGGAGTCCTTGAAATGCCCCTTCTAAGGGTATCAACGCCGAAGAACCCACACATATCTCCAGCCTGGTAGTTCTAATTACGTTTTAATCCCGCATAGATTTCCACCACAGGTGACACTGATGAAACGTAGGCTTTTCAGAGGAGGCAAACAGTTGTATTGTACTAGCGGAAACTAGGTCTGAACAAATATATTTTCATGTCTCAAGAAACGTATTCCAAATTTGATTCAAGAGTCCCTCAAAAACTACCAGTCAAATTGAAGTAGTAGTTCCTCGAGGGAAATTCCATTACGGGCGTAGTTCTTCCTCGATTCACAACAACAATCACAATTTCCTGTGGGAAATCAGCCAGATGGAAGTTTCGAGAACCACTTAAACAGTCGAGCACCACTTATTTTAGAGTGTAACTGTCTTTCATACTTTGCCGAAGATGGACCTGGTGGCACTAATTGCCGCTGCCACTTGAACCAGCATACCTGGCGTCGGGCGAAACAGTGCTGTTGCGTTTTTCATCTCTTGAGGTCCGGTCAAGTGGGACGATACTTCGGTGATAGAATGAAAACCCCAATCTGGATGAGAAAATTCCCTTGTGAATAGTTTCTTGTGCCTATTCTAGTGACAACTTGAAACCGAATGGAAACTTGATGCATAGCACACTTGAACTCTAAGCAGACGATATGTGGCGCCTTTTCCCAGGTTGGTACCCTCATAGCGCCCTATGAGGCTGCAGCATAACGACCAAGACACCCACCGCGCGCACGCCCACAAATGTCCGGCTATGCTCATGCTCGTATCGCTTCATTTGCGAAGTAAAATATGAAGCGAAGGAATTGATGTGAAGCGGCTGCGGTGCTGCATGGATATATGAGTACATACATGCAGCCGTACCTACCGTAGCGGTTATTGGCACGATGCCAACGGGATAACTCGTCCGAAATTGCGGTCTGCCAATGAATCGTGCAGAACAAAGGTTGCTGGTTCTTGACCGTTTCACTCTGCCTTTTCTCTATTTTCCCGCTATCAGACCAAGTGCCAGATTATGGTCCCTTATGCCTATAAGCGTTGAGCAACGAGTACTTCGTCCCTATGTGGGTCAATTGATACACTACTGCAAACAACTCTGTATCGCTGCGCGTGTCCTCGGCTATGCGCTCACATCCGACGGGAACATTTCAACCCATTGTCTTCGTTCATCATCAGTCAGCAGCAGCAACATACAATAACCTCATTATTTGAGAAGATTTCATTTCTGAATTCGGAACGTATTCCTCTCCTTTGAAAAATTAGGACTCGCCTAAGGAACCAAACAAAGTGATATACCTCCTAGTGGTTACGTGCCACGCAATGGGCTCAGCAAGCTTGGTACTCGAAGGGCGCCATCATGCGAGAAAGGACACCCCCAGTCTCCTGCAGCACCACCACCACCACTATTATCCACTGCTAAAGCCGGCCGGCTCTCATCAACTTGCGCCCTTTCGACGTCTCGCGTCGCCGCTCCAATTAGGCCAAACACATTCTTTTCAATGCCAACAAATGCCGTATATATTCGGAAATTCTCCTCGCATTGAACGAATCTAAACGCTCCAAGACAACAAGAAAACGTCTAACTGGAAAGTGCTTGTTTGAGTGCCGCTTTAAGTGCCCTTCTACATAGACGTGAAGTGCGCCCGCTGTGATCAAGTGCCATTGGATAAAAGCTTTGAGGAAACATTTCGCCGATTTTTTAGACCTCATCCAGGCACCACCGTGAGCTCGACAAACAAACGTGGAATTCTATGAATGCGCTTCAGACCAATGTTAAGAATTGACAAATCACAAATTTATATCTTCGTTTTTCAAGGATATTCCTTGTACCAAATGATCTCATCACCATTATAGGGGTCTGTTTAAACCAAGTGACCTAACGAACGCATGGCCCTAAACGTCTGAACAGGCTCGTACAAAAACGACGTCTTCAGTCATATAAGGATACTTCTGTTTGGTTCACAATCCAATATCAGGAGAAGCCACAGTAGCGCGCAAACAGTCGGGTATAATGGCCTTAGGGCTTTCTGTTGACCATCCAACCACTGAGAAGGGGGTGGTGCAGCGACAAGTGACATGCTTCCACTGAAGTCAAATCTCGGATCCGCCCGCCCACACCAACCACCCTCTACCCTCCGTGCACGTTGAATCGGAACCAGACTCGTCTGGGTGGATAAAACATTGACACATCGGCCTCTGCAAGTCATTGTATAGACCACATCGCATTCAATAAGCCACTACGATTCTGAATGGAAGTAGAATGCGTGCCGCATCCCACAAAGGGATTGATCAACGGCGAAGAGTTCACCCTTCCTACTTGATCACAGTCGCTGGTGCCGATTCTATTATTGAAACAATTCTGGGGAAAAAAAAACACTAGCTCAAAAAGTCAACTTGGAGCTGTCGGCTTTGGAAGCCAGGCAGTCGCACTCTACAGACCACCAAGCTGGCAGAAAATAGCACGAAGTCTCAAAAAAATAGTATGACTTTTAATCGCGCAGTCCAGAGCTTAGAAAGAAGCTTCATAAGAACCCTGTCATTTGATTTTATATGCATTTTTTGAAGTTCTTAATCGTTTATTCTGATTCAGGAGAATTTTTAAAGGAATACAATGCGATTACCGAGTGGGCTGATACATGAGTGGAGACAGAGGGCCACCATGCCTTAATCATCGTCGCTTCCCTACTTGTAATCTGATGAAGAGGAGGATCACACCAGTGTGGTGTTCAGATCCCGCCCCGACGAGAAGCGCGGAATATGCCTCCGTCACTTTGCTCATAGACCTCAAAATTGCCTTAAACCACCAGCAAAGGTAAGACTCGGACCCGATCCAAACGGAGCTTGCCCTGTTATAAACCAGAATTTTCTATAAAAGTAGGGTAGCGCCTATAGAAGTAAATGGGAGGAACGTATGAAGTTTAATTCCATTGTTTCCTGGTTGCCAATCCAATGAAAAAGCTCTGGAAAACTCTGTTCAACAAACCTTGTTCTTTCTGGTGTTCCTCTTGGCCCGTGATAACTTGCTGGCCAACTGCACGACATTCTCGTTGTCGTCGGCCTTTTCAGCGAATGAACAGACGAAAGACGTCATACGAGATGGACACATCGCACATTTGAGCAGTTGAGAAAGGAAATTCCCTCTGAAACAGAAAAATGCACGTGAAAATCGGATTTCAGCTCGGCCTGATGAATTTCCCGTTTTAAATGGATTGCCATCCCTCTTGGTGGGGAACATTACAAGTGGAAATCCTTTCAGGGAAGGGATGCATTTACTGGGGTT